TGGTGCTGAGAGGGGGCTGTGGGGTGGGGGGGTGGAGGCTGTAGCTACCCGACAATTAGTTGTAGCTGCCACGTAATCTCTCCTCCCGGTGTTGCTTCCTGCCCCGAGCGCAGCCTAGCCCAGCCCACAGCGGCTGCCTGCCCTGGCCCAGGCAGATCCGAGGGTGCCCACCTCCTGTGCTTTCCTGGGGTGCATGCAGCAGCAGGAGCTGCCACCGCCACTCCCCTCAACCCCCAGATGAGCCGCTGCGCCTCTGTCCTGCGCCCTGTCCTGCCCCAGCTTGACAGCACCAGTTGCTGCTCCACTGGCTCCCTCACTGCAACGACTTTGATCTGCCCTCCCCCACAACAGACTTACCAGCTGGTCACAGCTTGCCAGGCTGCTGAGCTGTGCTCCTCACCACCCACGCACTGCAGCTGCATGCATGCACGTGGCATTTACCTGCCACATCTGGCAAAAAAAAAAACATTTTCCAATACCGTCAATTTTCTTTATATCGGTGCTGATCTGATATCAGACCAATGTATCAGTGCACCTCTATTAAAAGCCATTGGCAGTTTCTTTCTTTTGTGGCACAGGGCAGGTTGTCCTTACTGGTTAGGATAAAGGAACAGCCTGGTGCTCCAACTTTGCTCCAGGGCTGCTGTCACACTTCCCCTTGGTTTTGGATGGCCAGAGCCCCACCCCAAATAGGGAACAACTTACCGACAGTGGGAGATAAATGTGGAAAAGGGCAAGGGAGAGTAAAAGGAAGGGAAAACAAATGAAAATGGAAAGAAATGAAAGGGTCTGTTCCAGCAAGGTGCCCCAAGAAATAGGATGGGAATCACTGGGAATGGTTAGTTTCCTCCACAAGTTGATAATCTAACAGTCTGCTCCTGTTGGAGTCCTTTTGAAATCTGTGCTATCAGTATAAAGAAGGGTTAGCAGGATTGGGCTCAAAATCAAATATAGGCAGTCCACGTATAATTTTGAAGCCGTGCCTGAACTTCATGGGGTGGGTTTGCAAAAGTCTTCTGTGGGATGAGCTTCAAAGGAGAAGGGGTGGTCACTTGTAATTTGGTAGGATTTGGCCAGAGTATTCAAAGGAAAGTTTTAAGTGCTAATTTTCACAGTAGGAAAAGCTTTCTTTGAAAGGAATGACATCTCCCCCACCCCGTTTCTCTCTCTTTTTTCCCTCTCTTCAGGTTGACAAAAATGCAGAATTAGTGGCTCGGTGGTACTACTGCGCTCTGAGTCAAGAAAAATTAAGCAGACCAATTGTAGCCTGTGAACTTGGCAGGTATGGGTTTTTTTCTTTAGATTTCTTGATCTTAAAAGTAAAT